TACAGCATGACGTAAATGTGAGTTAGCACAAGTTACCATAGAACACCAACACAGAGATGAATTTAACAAAATAAATGCCAAAATACTCGAAATAATGTAACTATTAATCATATGTATAAAAATGATGCATTGAAGAAACTATTCTAAACAACAGAATGTGAAGGTATGGATGGAGGGAAACTAAAACTCCAGAGTTGGAGTAAGATGATAAGGAAATTTATCTGTGGCAGTGTGATCGGTTTAGTTATCTCAATGAAAATACTGTTCGAAGTCATTCTGGAAGCCTTCACCTATCAACACGGTTCAGATCAACAGTAAATGAATTCAGAAACTGATTTAACGTTTCAGTTAAGCCAACCCCAACATTCTTTAAAACCTACTTCTAGACCCATGTCAACACCGCCCGTCCAGGTAGGTATTTATAACACGAATTTAATAAGCTTGCTAATGAAGATTTCCATACCGTTTTAGTCACACTGTGGTGTGTTCTACTGATGTTGATAGATATAAGAAGTATGTATCATCAATCGAAAATGAAATACCTGGTAGCAGAAGGTTTAGAAGATAGAACAGAGAACGAGAACAGTGAATGAGTGCTGTGGAAATGAAAGAACAGTGAAGTTTGTGACAAATGGTTGACATTTTGCAAATTAAGTATTTACTGTAGGGTTCTCAATTTACTAAGATGCTCTGTAATTTTGTATTCAGATACATCTGATTGTTCCCAATCGTGTTCTTGTTTACTAAAACACGTTTAAAATATCCAGCTACCTAAACAAAACGACATGGGTCATATTTGGACTTACCTTCCAGTGGTAACTGAAATTCAAATACTTTAATAAATAAGGTGTGATTTGACCATGATACAAATACAATCATTACAACACAGTCATCACATCAATAAACTTAGATCATTAAAAGAAATGAATGATATATACTCAAGTTATTCAACTAGATAATGATAATCCGGTTTAATCAATAATATTACGGAAAAGTAAACTGCAGAAAAACAGTACCAAGAGAAAACGAATTAATTAGAAACGTTTCCAATGTGGGTTTAATTTTCAGCAAAAAGATTTTATTTCATACAGCAGGATTTACCCGCAGTTATCTGTTATAAACATATCAGTGTATGTAACATTGAAGGGTTTGAAAATGGCAGTTCCAATGAAGATGATGCTCTTGTGTATGCAGTACAGAAGGCGACTCAAATGAGTTGAAATAAGAGATGAAGTTGCTAAATATAACAGACCTACTTACAGAACATTGGAAACGTTGTAGCGAAAGTCGTTGAAAACATTCATTTAAGAAGGCGATTCAGAGATTTCACTTAAGCTATACAATCCTATTTGTAATTAATTTGTACAGCCTAAATAAATGAAATCGTCGAAAAAAAATTTTTTGTTGATATGCTTTTTTTAAATGAGTGCTTTTCACAACAATTTGTGGCCCTTGATTTGACTGCAATTTGGATGAAAGTATGAGTATGCTATGAACATAATTCTGCCGTTTAACTAAGTATATTACCTAGGCTAACCCTGTTTGTATGACGACGGTAATAAGAAGCCATATATGGATTACGTTGGATGAATTTATTTCAAACACTCGTTTATCCGGGGATGAGGAGGCGAGTGGGCCAACTCATCTTTGACAAAGCGTAACTCAATATTTATAGCCGGGCAGAACTAGGCCAAAGACATGCCATGAATAGGATAAGCGCCGTACACACACGCTCATATAAAAACAGTAAGCTTAATGAGCGAATAATTAACAAGGTCAAAACGTGACTCAAGAAAAATGAATAAATTGGTCTGCCCAGAAGCTTGACATAGTACTAAACTGTTTTGCCACAACGTCCTTAATGTTTAGTAAATAGGTCTGTTATATTTAGCAATTCCAGCCATTTTTCCAACTCATTGAGTCGCCTTCTGTGCTGCATACACAAGAGTATCATCTTCATTGGGACTTCCATTTTTAAGACATTCGATGTTACATACACTGATATGTTCATAGCATATGTTCCTCGCTGAATCGCCTTCTTCAATGATCTCCATTTAATCTAGATTAATGTATGGATACTGCTGACGAGTGCCATACTGGGACGAAACAGCCATCCAGTGTTTACAGGTTATCAAGGGTGATCCAAAAACGATCGATTCATGATCTCAATCAAAAATATACAATTACTTATAACTTTAAATTAGCATAAAGTAGTGTTCAACATGGCCGCCTAACATTATCATCACTATTGATCTCTATCTTGTCAACAGATTTATGAGATTATGTAGAAACCGAGTTGATTTGCAAAAATATTAATTCTGTTTACTTGGAAAGTAGAAAACTACGTTTGATTTCAACTAAAGAACCTACGAAAATAAGAGAAGACAGCTTTTTATATATTAAAAGTGTTGCTATAACGACAGTTATATGAGAGACAAATGGAAAGATAGGGTAGTAACTATCGTACACACAAGAATTCATTATATATATATATATATATATATATATATATATATAGAGAGAGAGAGAGAGAGAGAGAGAAAGAGAAAGAGAAAGTAGACTGCAAAATAAGAGTTAGAAAAAGGTTAACTAAATAGTTAGTTAAAATCAATAAAGGGGATCAAGAACTACAAAACCTTGTATTATCAGTGTCCTCTTGATTGATTATTATTTGTAATAAGAAATTAATATGTGATGGATAGACTTAAAAAAGCATTCAAATTAGTACATCGCTTGTGCATATATACATATGGGTAAATGAATGCAATGTATTCTATGGGTTTGATGAGCGAGGTAGAAAGTAGTGTAAGAATTATTATTTTATTGTCAAAAAGGACGGATTGTAGCAAGCGATCGTTTTCAGGTCGACAGTCTTGTCTGTTTTGGTCTACACAGATCTCAGTGCTGATGTTTACACTAAGATTCGCCAGTGTTATTCACTGAATTCAGATAGCCACTGACGTATTTAATGGGTAAGATGTTTACATCATTTAGTAGTAAGGGTTTGAATTATTCTGGTGTTAATATTTAGGACTGTATCTTGATCATACTAAGTCAATTCGTATACAATTCACAAATGCCAACGAAGACTGATCGAAATATATCATTGAATATTACCAAGATAGTTTAAACACTTGCTAATAATGATACAGAAGGTTTAACTGTTCACAAATAAGAATACATTATTTTAACTATAATTGAAATCAGTATGATCAGTACTGAACAGCTTATCTCCACGGACACATCTATCATTATTTTCAGTTTCTAAAAGAACTTCAATCATTTAATCAAAATTACACACATATAGTTGAGTCAGCAGAGAAAAGGACAGAGTATACATTAGTATAAACATAGGAATACTAGTGTTTTCTCTAACAAAGTGTCATTCGGTTAAATAAAAATAACGAAACAAAATGCAAATTCCTTGAATTACACCTTAATGTGAATGAATTTTAGTGTCATTAGTTCCCATCTAACTAACAGATAGATTGTTTTATGCCTTAAAGTTATTTCCAAAAAGTACATTCACTTGGCTCTAAATGTGTAAGCTGAAGGTTTTTGATTATAAGTGTCTTTGAAGCATTGGTCATTTATCTAGCATAGAGTGCTAGGTGAAGGTGAGGAATCGATTGATGAGGTTGTGAATCACCATCGACTGAGGTGGTTAGGGGATGAATTACATACGCTCAACCACCACTAACTTCCACGGTGGGCTTTAAGCCAGTGTAGAAGCAAATAAGACGAAAAATAGAGGCACCCAAATCAAGATGTACCATTAGTCCATAAATTTATAGACTCTTGGTTAGAACCATGTAAGTGCAGATTACCTGTTTGTAGTTGACATGATGACAGCGACCAGTGGTCAAAGTTGCATGGCTCAGAATCGGTCTTAAGGGCACAGATGCATAAACTTCTGATCATGCTCTAGATCTTGAATTCTAGTATCCCCTTATGCATAACTTTCCACTGTCACTTCAAACCATATTCACGTTTTGTCTTTCTCAAAATAATTGCTCTTAGACTGTCTTTCGATTTGTTTGTTACTTACCTCGTCGTCCCAACGAAGTATGCCAGTTTGGGCCGAAGCGTATTCCGTACTAGACTCTATATTGATCATGAGTGACTAATTATCTGCTCATTCCATGTGAATTTTCTTTATAACAACATTACTGAATGATTGTCTGTCTGACAAACTGAATACTTTAGAAATAGTGATGTCTGCTATTAGCGTACCAAACTATAAGATGAAAATTAACGTGCAGAATTTTTGTTTAGCTTTTAAAATCCAGAAATGTAACAATGATCAGACAACAGCAATAGATCACACAAAATTCATCCAACAAAATCAGTATGTTGCTTGTTTAAGCTGTTTTTTTTGTTTTTCACTGAGTGGACGAAAATGAATAGGTAGAAAGAAAACTACAATTTCATAATGTTCACAGATTTAAATCATGAGTCAGTTGAAGCTAGACCACCATTGAAAACCTGGAAGCACTGGACGGCCGTTTCGTCCTAGTATGGGACTCCTCAGCAGTGCGCATCCACGATCCACGATTCAACTGACTCATGATTTAAATCTGTGAAAATTTCAAAAATCTCCACAAACCCCTTCTGATAATTTCATAATGATCAAGTATTTCACAAAACGACATCAGTTTCCTTTCACAATGAGCAATCACAGTAACGTAATCGAATTCAACGTTTTAACTTGTGATTAAAACTAAAGTAATTGGTCAACGCTCTAAGAATATTTTAGTTTTCTATACAGACGAACACTATCCAATGCATAAAATAGATGAGATGTAGCTAGCAGTGCAATCCGGGACGTGTCTTCAGTTGTACTAGGGACTTGTTAGCTGGATGTACCTGCATTCCAGCGGAATTATCCGATGTAGATAAAGCCGTGGTCAGTTAAAATAGTTTAAACTATTTGTGAACTTCAACAATGTCAACACATGAAGTTCACATATTATCTTTCATCTTCATACATAATAACTCACTTGCTTCAAGTCAAAACCAGTTAGATAATAAAAGCCAAAGATTAATTACATGGAGAATAAAGTGAATTATCTGATGAATTTGAGCTGTCCGTCTGAAAGATTTTCAAAAAGTACGGAAATAGAAGCATAAAATCAAACCAGAAAATTAACAAAAAATGATTTAATCCTGTTTCCCTCATACAACACAGTACAGCATTCCAGATATATGTACCTGATCCCATATGTCATTCCAAGGTCAAGCATTAGGTTAGAGGTAAGGAACAAAGTACGCTATTGAATGAAGTGAGTCATAAACAAATAACAGATCTTAGCTGAAGCATTTAATGAACAGATATATTTCTCTTATTGATTACAACTTCCTAGTTATTCCTAGTTTTCCACCATTCACATACCGGGTTGGTCTCGCGTAGAGAGAGCATCGAGTCCCTGTATCTGAATCGGATGGTTGCAGAGGGTAATACGTTGATACCTTACTCATGATAGTTGCTGAAGTAGGCAACTCAGTCGATATAAGTTGGTCGAAAAGTTAAATTCTTCAAATTTCAACAGTGATAAAATTAAAAGGCAGCGGTGGTGTGGGTGGTGAGGTCAATTCTCTTATAGTGAAAGCCAGAGCGGCTTATGCCAATCTGGGCCATCTTTGGAGCCTTCGTGATGTAAGTATGGCTGTAAAGGGTCGGATCTACAACGCGTCGGTAAGAACAGTTTCGCTCTATGCTTGTGAAACCTGGCCTCTTCGAGTTGAGGATGTTAGACGACTCTGTGTTTGGTTATTATTGTCTCCGAAGGATTGCTGACATCCAGTGGCAACACCATGTTAGTAATGCAGAGGTTCGGCATCGTGTGTTCGGGGACAGAGTTGATAATTCAATTGGTGTCACTATCTTGAAACATCGAATTCGGTAGTTCGTACATGTCTTACGAATGCCTTCCCAGCGATTTCTACATCGTGCATCATTTGTCCATGCTGGGACCGGTTGGAAAAAGCAGAGAGGTAATAAGTATATGATAGGGTGTTGTGGTATGAAGGAAAGATGTACAGGACTAGCTTCTGTAGGTCCTTTGCGACTTCCTGGTTAACATCTTAGAGATGGTACAACATTTATTTACTTGAACACATAAATATTGGTGCAAGAGGGCATCAAACATATATGCGCCACACGATGGTACAACACAGTTGTGTCGATGGAAAGAAAGTGATTGCTTCTCGCAATTCCAAGTTGACAACCACTTGTTTACCGTTAGAAGAAACCTCACATATACAAACGCTGATATTTCCATAAATATGACCTGAACAATCAGCACAATTGGTCATAACTATAGTCTGAAAGCACAAAGATTTTAGAGCTGTTATTTGGACTGTGACTGAACACACATTCGAATTATTTATCTATCACTTTAAGTATACAAACAAATTTCCTACCTAATTTATGGGAAGAATGTAAAGATTAAAATCACTACTAGTTATAATTTATCAAATTCTATGATAAAAACTGTTACATACTCTATTTTTCTTTGAAATTCGAATACTGGATTCCTTCAATAATAAAGGAACATTATGTTTGTCAAAGTGTACTTCATTTTTCCCATCAAGTTCCGGATTCGAACTGGTTAAATTTAAAATTTTCAGTTTGTCCAAGTTATAACTTGAGAATAAAATATCCTACGTAAAGCAAAGATGGAATAAATAATATATGAACAATAAAGGCGTATCATGGAACGATACAAAAAAAACATTGAATTCCTACTACCACTAAAGTAATGAGAATAAAAGTAGGATGATGTTAGTTATCATATTTTATTAATAATAACATTATGCTGATGGAGTATTATTTACCAAAATGTAAATGATTGTTAATAATATAAAAGCCTGAATCCTTTAGTTGTGTAGACAACATCCCCGTGTGTTTTAATACTACATAAGCATTTAAAAACAAATTAAGTCGTTTGATTTGCCACTAATCTAAGCATTCTACTTTCGATTTAACTATCAAATGTGCAGTTAGTTTTTCTTGTTTAGCACATTTTAATCACTTTTACTCAAATTGTATATAATCAGAATGAAAACATGTTTGAAATAGGAAAGCATTTCAAAAAATATTCAGAACAACAACGTGCAGAAACACGAAGATTCATATAAAATTTATGTACGAAACTCCTTTTTGCTTCATCCACTAGTGCTGATTAGTTAAAAATAGATCAGCTAACGTATTCGGGTTCTGTTTTGCACGATTTTATCCTTAAAACACGTACACATTTTGTTTAATTACTTCTATTCATATAAGAAAATGTATCCAGCTTTTAAGACACTCGGGCCGCAAACTTATACGAATCTGGCAATTTCATAGCTTTATAGGAGAGAAAATAAAGAATCTTTCTATTAGGATTGACAATATTTTAAAACAATACATCACTTCGTTATTTTGTAATATTGAATGTTAATAACATAACATTTCAAGGACGACCATGATTACATTATTATTAATAATAAAAAACTAACTTCCTATCAAGGCGATACTGATTAATTAATCTTGTGTTAGTCTAATCCTAAATGTTGATCAAATTCTACCGATCAAGATGTGATACGGTTACTCCAGTTGGTTCAAAATCGTATAGATCGTTTTGATGAGAAATGACAGGGAGAAAGTCCTGGACCTAAAGGAGATCAGTTGTGGTCCCGATAGCTGAATGGTAACATATCTTACTGTATCACTACTGAGAGAAGCATCTCCGAACGCGTGGATATAATCAGCATCATCGAGAGTGTAATACGCCCTGATGGGAAGTTTCAATCAGCACGTAATTCAGGTCTCCAGTTATCTTAGAGAAACTAGTCAGGAAATTTAGTAATTTTGTGAGAGCTTTTGAATAACTTTTAATCAGGTATTGAATGATCTTGTAGACTTTATTTTTCGAGAATAATTCTCCATAGCTATTAAAGATCGAGACGCCCTGCTGAGCTGTTTAGGTTATTAGCTTGAATAACAATTTCCTCATTAGTCACAACCTATCATGAGTTACGCCAAGGTGACACATCACTAGTTGACCAGTCAAAAAGATGATTCCAGAATGATGATTAAAAAATCTATAAACTAAGTGACGATGACATGAAAAAGCACAACAAACAATCGGCAATAAAATTATAAGACATGGACCTAACACTAGAGACTGAAAAAAACTAGAACTAAGATAAGCGCATTACTCATGAGACAATAAAACATGATGAACTCCAAAATATAACAAAGCAATGGATATTCTGAATTATTTTATTTTAAATAATTACTTGACCATAAATATTAACTAAAAATAGGCTTACATCACAGGATGATAGGGTTAGAGAGTGGATTTGACGAGACTATCTGATGTCATTTGTGACTGACTCATTCATTTTTGGCATGGGTAATGTCCCAGATATAATTAATGTTAACTAATAAATCTACCTTCACATTAAACAAGCCTCAACAAACCCTATGTATAAATAAACTTGTAATCGTTCAGATTATTCCGTTGTTGATATTATAGCTGAAATTCGATCAGTTATGGTTGGCATATGTGCATCATGTGCAGATGGCTTCGATATTGGCAGTTATGACACGGACTTATATAAAATAGATGGAATGTAACTAGCAGTAGAATTCAGGAGGCGCATTTTTATCCCGGATTAATGATCAACTCCAGGATTCAGATACATCGAGATAACGAGTTTTAAATAGGACGAAACGCGTGTCCTGAATTCCATTACTAACTACATTCCATCTATTCCATATAAACATGTATATAGAAATATTATTACATCACAAACTAACCTCCATAATCAACTCTTTCCCCTTTAATAAAGACTTACAACCAGCCAAAGATTTCACATCAGCTAACTGACTTTTTAATAGTTCCACTTCATTATATTCATTATCTCCATCAATAGACCTTGGGAGGTCTAGTAAATATAATAAGCACGTAAAATAAATAAAGCTAGACATATACGGAGAAAAGACTTAAGTATATAGTCTAGCAGACAATAAACAGTATAATTAATTAATGAATAACTGTATTATAAGAATCAAAGAAATAACGAAAGACTGATGTTTACTAAGTAACTGAGGGTGTAAATGCGTGGGCCACGTTTATTGTATGGAAGCGAATTATCCTAGTCATAAAACGGGCAAAAAGTCTTGATAAGTGAGGTCAAACAATAACACTAATCTGACAACTGAATGATTAAATATTAGGATCACAAATGCATTTGTATTATTATATAGATGTCGAGTAGTGATACTTAATTTGAAAGGAATGCTCGATCAGATAAAATTACGTTTCAAGTACTGACATATGCCAAAATTATATATATCGCATCACATTGTTTCCTTCTAGTGTGAAACTTCCTCGGTGACTTCAGTAATACAAAATCGAAGTATTCACACAGACCTGAATATCCTGGGTCTGATACCTGGTGGGTTCGTGGATGCGCACTCCCGAGGAGTCCCATACTAGGATGAAACGGTCGTTCAGTGCTTCCAGGTTTCCCATGGTGGTCTAGTTTTAATTGAATCATGAATCCAAATATTAAATTACTAAAATCTCCACAAAACCCGCTTCTGGTGATGTTAGTTCATGATATACACTACAAAATTCTGCAGTCTTCACAAGTCTTCTATTATAATATAGAGATATTATTGATGTGATGACATTTGGCGGGCTGCTGAAAAAAAGTGAAATACATTTCATTTAAAATATTAGGAAAACATGATAAACGAACCTAATACAAAAGTTTGTGAATTTACAACATTTTCTGTTACATTTCTCTCTGTTGTTACTCCTGTTTTTGTCGTATAGTGTTTGGCTAAACATTTTAATTTACACCAAAGACATCGAGATACATAACGTACGCGTCTGGTAAGATCATCACGAATTACTGCATACGGTAATTCAATTAAAAGATTATTAACAAGAGCTGATTTTCTACGACCATTTTCTTTAGACATGGCAATAGTTGAATAATCTTCGTCGGATGATTCTCGTCTAAAATACTCATCGCCGTCGTCTTCTTCGTCATCAAGTGAAAAGAATTCATCATCGAATTCATTGGAGTGAAGCACATTATCATTATTTTGTACCCATGTAGTACAATGTCGTTGGAGAAAATCAGTGAATCGAATCATTCTTAAAGAGAGTTGACTGACAAGATCTCGAAGTTCACGATTCTCATAAAGTAAGTCATTTTGGCGACTTTCCAGTTGTTGAACTATTAATGATGATAAATCAGCCTATAAGTAAAAGTACTGATTACTTAAACAGAGCTGGATAATTCAACCATAGGTTAGAAAAAATGTTATAAAAACTAATACTAATTTTTATAGTTGAGATCATGAGTCAATTAAAGCTAGACCAGTATGGAAAAACCTGGAAGCACTGGATGACCGTTTCGTCCTATTGCGAGACTCCTCAGTAGTATTAACATTAAGGTGAGTTGCATAACTGTTGAGTTAATTTCCAAACATTAAGATATATATCTCGATACCACGTCACATATAACAACTCGTCAATGAACCAGATTAAGATGGGTCTTGTATTTTAGTACTGTTCTTTTTTAACATACCACTCATGGTGAAAGAATGAAAAAAAAGCTGAGAAAAATCTTATCAAGTAACCGGGGATGAGTTCATGAACTAGATTTTAATAGTTCAGAGGTCATAGATCCGACAAAAAGGTCAGATTGATCTGAAAAGATAACGCAAATCTTACGAATTGAAAGTCTGGATCATTGGGTCAAATCTCTACATTTTAATCAAGAGTTTAAATACCTCATTACATAATCGTTGTTAAAAATCAAAGTTGTCCGAAATTCAGGACAAAGACCTTGAATTGCACGTCTTTTAAAATTGAGCAACAAGAAATGCACAAGTGATAAATAGCTTCGTAAACTTTTAGCACGAAATCCAAAATAGAAATCAAAATTTGCCCTAAAACTTATCAAATTCTTTTCCATCTTTTTCAAAATATGCGATGATCATTCTTAATATATTTTCTGTCTAGAACTGGCTTAATAAAATTGAGGCTTGTGTCTTAATCGTTGTTTCCGAAATGTAAATTAATTTCGAATAATTTTCTTTCACAATCAGGAACGAAAGATTACATAAAGTTAGTAAGTGGCATGAAGGCACTCAACCTTATTATCACAAAACAAAAGCCTAGACAAGATATGAAAAAAGGTACATACATACACGTCCTCACCATCAACAATGATAATACATTTAGAACACTGAGTTAGAATTCCTGGCATTTTGAAGCTTCCCAACTTATTCGTTCGCAAGTGTGATTATTACTCTCCATCTGAAGGCGGCCTGTTTGAATATCTCGGCTACCTGTTCCTACCGTCTGAATATTTAGACAAGCCATCTGTTTTTGTTTGTTTTAACATATCGCTATGTCTGTTAGCTGCAAAACCTATTCAGGGCGTTTATGAAAATTTTGCAACCTTTTGCTGTACAGGTTATCAAAAAGTACAATCAGCGACACCGTGGTGGCTGGCAGTATGTATTGAAAATAATGAACATTATTCAGATGTCAATTCCTGGACTGCTCATATCCGAATGGCGATCACTCAATAGTTGTCATCAGAATCAATCAAGAAATAAGGAAAGGTAACTTGTTGAAATACTTCGTGCTGAGAATAATATATTGTCCCAACAATATATTGAATAAAGCTATTATTAATAATAATAATAATAAATAATATGCATGTGGAGCTAATCCGTGTCGGGTAGAGACAGGTATCTACCTCAGTACAAGATGGTCGCGCAATTTCGTGGGTTGGTTAAGGGTTAGACATTAACACCGTTGGGTGCCGACTCAGTGGTCTAGAGGTTGAGCGTCTGCGCGCGAGACTGGAGGCCCTGGGTTCGAACCCCGCGAGTGGGATCGTGGATGTGCACTGCTAAGGAGTCCCACGATAGAACGAAACGCCCGTCCAGTGCTCCCAGGTTTTCAATGCTGGTCTAAAATCAATCGGTTCATGATCTCAATCAAAAACATAATAATCTCCACAACCCTATACTGATAGTATGTATAACTTTGAACAACACGACACTGAAATTTTCGCAGCTGCCATTAACTCATAATCGTTAAACAAATTACTGGCTATCTGGATTCAGTAGCTAAGTAAAAAACGAGTACAGGGTTTAAGTCACATTGTGAACATTAACACTCGTATATACGTCCACTCGTCCAATGAACGAAACGCGTACCTTGGATTTCATCCCGAGGTACAATTCAAATATACACTAGATCTTCCAAAAAAAACATCAAATTCAAGGAACCACTGAAAATGCATAAATGTCAATAAAGATCGATCGAAATTCAGTCGTGAATATCAACAATAAAATAATACAAACTCATAAATAAAAATATACAGGTTCATGTAACAGGTTACTAACTGAAATTATTATTTGAAGGTTAGAAAGTAGGGTAGGTAGAGTATTTCAATTGTGAATCAAACCCCTAAACTATTAATCACTGGACGAACACCGAGAGCTTCCTTTCTTCTAGACAAACTATCACATACCCTGGAGGTTTGAACATCCAAATCGTCTTTCATGTCAGAATCAAAGTTATTGACTGAGGTAACTGACTCAAATTTGGCACTACCTAAACCAGAATTAGTTCGAATTGTACTTCCAAATCTCCGGGAACTGGATGGTCCCCCATTTGTTATTTCAGGCTTTTTATCAACTTCTGACGATAAAAACCACTGTGACATTGATAAAACCGTTGGAGAACAAGACAGTTTATTTGTTTTTTGTCCTTTGTTCCAGTTAGGAGTGGCTTTGTCAATTAAAAATGTTAAGCGTTTCCGAAGATCCGTTGCTTCTTTCTCTAGCTTACGACGTTCGTGTAGAAATTGGATTTCATGTCGTTGGAAATTTGACTGAACTTTACGAAGCTATAAACAAAGAAGTAACAGGCAACTTACTGGAATTCAATATAATCTTAGGAATATCTAGAGGAAATCACAAAAGTATTTATATCAATCGTTGTTGTCAATATATATAATCCGCCTGTAGCTCTTCTAGAGTTACTGCCGGTCCCAAGCCCGGGTAAAGAAGAGTTGGGAATGGGGTCGGCAATCTCATCCCGTAGAAAACAATTTTACCAAAAACACTAACCAGATCAAACAAATTAAGCCATTTAAACTCAAACATGGAAGTTGAAGGAAGAATTATGACGCCTTATTATGAAAGCCGAGATTTTTCGGAAGTCACGAGGCTGATGGCTCTTCTAACAACCAGAGCTACAATTTATATAGGTATGGAAAATGTGTGAGACCGGAAGGACCAGTCAAATAGCTACCGAAATGAGGCGATACAACTTGGCGGTGTTCGGAATCAGCAAAACCTATTAGACCCAAGCTGGTCAGAAAAAGATAGATGCGAGAGAGATGCTGCTATACTCTGATCACGAAGAAAAAAATGCTTTGCACGCACGAGTTGCACTGATGCTAGTAAAAGCAAGAAAAGCACTTTTTAGGCGAGAATTTCGTGAATTCAGTGTTATACACACCGATTATAGTAACGACGACGATAAAGATCAGTTCTATGAGAGGCTGCAACCAATCATAGCGAAGTGCTCAGGACAGGGAGAGAGAAACGAGAATGGCGAGGAATTCGCCAATTTATGGACATTCAACAAAATGGTTGTAGGTGGCACAATATTCCCCCACAAACACATGCACGAAGCTACATGGGTTCCTCCGGATCATCTAACGGAGAACCAAATAGATCACATTTGCATCAACCAAAAATTCAGAAGGACAATAGAAGACGTGAGAATCAGGAGAGCAGCTGACATAGCCTTAGATCACCACCTGGTGGTTGCCAAGATGAAAATGAAGCTAAAGAAGCAATGGACAACTGGACAAACAGCAGTACAAAGACTCAATACAGCTTTCCTTCGATATGCTGACAAACTCAATGAATTTAAGATAACTCTCTATAACAGGTTCCAAGCCTTACAAGATCTACTGAAAGAAGAAACTACTATAGAGGACAACTGGAAAGGGATCAAACAAACACTAACTTTAGTGTCAGGAGTAACAAGAAACATCATCATAAGGAATGGATCTCTGTCAAAAAAACCTGCACAAGATTCGAGATAGGAAGAACAAGAGGATAGTGCTTAACAACAGCCGAAAAAGAGCAAAGAAAGTCGAGACACAAACTGAATACATTGAAGCAAACAAGCAACAGCATTAGAGCTGACAAGCAGAAATACATGGAAGCCTTAGCAGTGACAGTAAAAAAAGCTGCAAATGAAGGAAATATGAGACAACCATATAACATAACGAAGAAATTAGCAGGGGAATATGGTAAATCAGAGACACCGTTCAAGGACAAAGAAGGTAAGTCAATCATGAGATTCAAGAACAAAGAAACAAATGGGCAGAATACTTTGAGGAACTCGTAAATGGACCAACCACACTGAATCCACCAGACATAGAAGCAGCACATGCAGACCTTCAGGATGGCCATGCGACAAATCAAGAGCTGGCAAGAAGACGTGGAAGTAACTGCAAACATGATTCACGTTCTATTCAGAAAGATTTGGGAAGAGAAACAGGTTCAGAGAGATTGGAAAGAATACCTTATCGAGATATCAAAGAAAGATCTCAGAAAACGTGAAAACTACAGAGGCATCACACTACTATCGGTACCAGCAAAAGTTTTCAACAGAGTTGTTGAACCGGATGACGGATTCAATAGACGCCCAAACTCGAGATCAACAGACTGGATGCTGTAAGGATAAGTCATACACAGACCAAATTGCGACACTACGGATCATCGTTGAACAATCAATTGAATGGAACTCGTCACTATACATCAACTTCCTTGACTATGAGAAAGTATCTAACTGTATACATGGGAGGACCCTATAGGACCTTCTTTAACACCATGGTATACCTGAAAACATTTTCAACATCATAGGGAATTCATACGACCGACTACAGTGCGAAGTCATGAGAGCAGGACAGCAGATGCATTTCAAATGAGGACCGGAGCCAGACAAGGTTGTTGAATCTTCTCTATTCTCTTTCTTCTGGTGATTGACTGGATTATGGAGACTTCAACATCTGACAGGAAGTGTGAAATACAATGGACAGCTCAGAATCAGCTAGACCACTTGAACTACGCAGACGACCTGGCTTTTCTATCTCATACACACGAAGAAATGCAGGTAAAGACAACTAGTGTAACAGCAGCCACTACATCTGTAGACCTCAACAGACACAAGGGAAAAAGCAAGATACTAAAATGAAACAGAGAAAACCAGCCCAATAACACTTGATGGAGACGCTCTGAAAGATGTGGATACTTCCACATATCTGTGAAGCATCATCAATCAACAAGGAGGATCAGATGCAGACTTAAAGACGAGGATTTTCAAAGCAACGACCGCATTCCTACGACTGAAGAACATATAGAACTCAAAACAACCGTCAACCAACATCACAGTCAGAATCTCCAATACGAACGTCAAGACAGTTCTACTGTACGGAGCTGAAACTTGGAGAACTAATACAACCATCATCAAGAAGGTACAATTATTTACAAATAGTTGTCTACGCAAGATACTCAACATCCATTGGCCAGATACCATCAGCAACAGCCTACTGTGGGAGAGAACAAATAAGCTTCCAGCTGAAGAGGAAGTTATGAAAAGACGATGGAAATGAATAGGACATACGTTGGAGAAATCATCACACTGCATCACAAGGCAAGTGCCTACTTCGAATCCTGAAGGGGAGCGGAAAAGAAGAAAGTCAGAGAACACACTGTGGTGAGAATTGGAGGTAGACATGAAAAGGGTGGACAGCAACTGTAAACAACTGGGAAGGATTGCCCAGGACAGAGTGGGATGGAGAATGCTGGTGGGCGGCCTATGCTTCTCCGTGAGGGGTAACAGGCGTGAGAAATATATATATATATATATATATATACAGCACTTCCGTATGCCGGAGGCGAGAGGATTATCTCTCCCTCTCGAAATGCTCTCGCACGGCCACGCGTATACAGCCACTGTCAGGGAAATCCTACTCACAGCATTCTCGCAACAGGGGTGTTGTTTACGAAATTGAGAGGACGAAAAGCGAATGTCCGTCGCTTTAACCAGGTTGGTGGATACGGAGGGTCCACCTAGGGGGGTTGGAAAACCCCGGTCCCAAACCAATGGTGCATATGAGCTCCAGGATCCTGAAGGGAAAAATGGCGTGTGAACCAATTGTTGGTCACCGACTACCATGGGACTGCATCTCCTGATGTTGCTCAACTGTCTTGTGGACCAGACCTTTAGGTCGAAGGCCCCGAGTATTGGCCCCCTAGGAAGACTATCTGTTTCAGTCTGGGCGCCAGTGCAATATCACAGATCACACACAAACCAAGTGACTTGTGTAGCGCATATGGAATCGGTGCTCCTTTATATACCAATATTTATATGTTCAAATAATAATAACTTTCGTATCCTTCAATATATTATTAACCAGTCATAAATTTCGGGACTGTTTGTCACTGCCAACTTACTGAAATTCCTTTAATAATAAAACCATGTTACAAGGTGGCCGATGGAGAATTTATCATTCTAATTAACGACAAATGATGGTTCTTTACTACGGATGTTCGGTCATCATACTGATAAAAAAAAATCCGATTCGACGAAAATAATGCCGTACGTATACAAATTTTTTTTCTGATTCAATATTCACTACTTAAATTTCCTTTGTTTTTGTTTGAACTGTAAACTTGTCAGGTTTGCCAGACAAATATGAACAGTTAAATTTAAGCTCCTTTTGGTTATACTTGAATCAGACTATAAAAAACATCCTGTTACTGGTTTTTCCAACTAAATAAAATTAGCTATGAAAACCATTTATCCACTAGATGACCCTGTAAGTTGATGTTTCGTTTAATTTCCTTAGGGTTCGACTCAAACAACTGAATGATTTCTTAGTTAAACACTAATAATAAACAAAAGATTTAAAGATAAAGGTTGTTTCTATTACTGAACAAAGCGGAAATGGTTAGTGAAAAATATGAAGTCCTAGTGCACTTAGTGGTACAACAGCATACTTAGTTACGAGCTAAACTTCATGTGCGAAAGCTAGCAACACTAATCTGTTCCCAAGTAACAAGAGTAGCCGCAGAGAAGTAGCTATTTCTAGACAATTTAAATTGAAAATCACCAAACAAAGATTATGTTTAAACTACAAATACATCCAATGTCATGATATTCATTTAGAACAATTTAAAAATGTAACTACAAGAGAGAATTTTCATCCACAAAAACTTACTTCATTACATGTAGATTTCAAACGATCATTAAGTAACTTTTTATCATTTAAAGCTTGCTTTTCCCTTTCTTTGATTAATTCATTTGATCTTTGTGTTTCTTCCAAATTTTGCTGACATCTTCGATAAAGTTTTTGTACTTGAGTTAAATCTGACTGTACACGATGAAAACTAATTACAAAACATAAAAAACAGAACGAAAAAAAGTATGTAAATACAAAATTGGTGCCTTGATTATAAATAATTGTTTATATTTTTACCCATAAAATCAATGAATGTCATTTGCAGATAACCAGATGTCTATTTTCTTTAATCAAAAGGCGAGTATACAGTAAAGTAGTCTGCTTTGTATTATTCTACGATAGGGATAAATAGCTAATGATAGTAGAAGACATGAATTTGTTAGCATTCTATAATAAATGTTATAGAAACATTGCTTGTGCATGGTGGAGCTACAGTGTAAGGCTGATACTAAAGGTACGGTACTGTCACACACGCTCTATCACCGACTATTCTGGGGTCTGATGCTCAATAGCTGTTATAACTGTGAAAATATGCTTCTGATTAGAGGGGTAGCGAATTATTGATCGGACCAAAGACGCGCAAACACACAGAACGACCTAGGGTTCTGATTGGCCCCGCTTCCCTGTCTAGTCCAGCCAGTTAAGTACAGAATGCAAGTCTCAGCCTCGGATATATGAATCATTATATTTCAAACATACTTTGTTTATATACCAGTCAAGCAGACCACAACGTACCATAAAATAGATAACATTGTACAATAATGGCCAGCAGGGAAAATGACACGTTAAACAAATATTAACCAATAAGATGATACCATTTCATGTTCAAGGATAGCATTAGGCTTAACAGGATAATTTTTGGGATATTTTCCTGAATATCCCAACAATAGCATAATAGCAGATTTGAAAAAAACTAATGGGTTGTATACCAAGTCATAAAATCAATGTATAAAATAACTAATTATGGATCTGAAACGCGTTGGGAGGCCATAAACTTTGTTTTTGGAAGCCATCAACTGACTGCGATCGAAAGATCTTCAATGACGACTTAACATTGATCACAGAAATGAATCCATTTTTTATCTCCCTTTAAAAGTGTTAACACCGCTCATGTTTTTCACTAACTGGTTTCATTTATTCTCTGCTTGGTCTCCACTCTTAATGACATTATTTCAACTTACTTGCTTGTCATCTTGTTGATTTCTTAGTGTTATGTTGATAGAAAGTGTGAAAAAAGTCCAGTTTACATTTAGATTAGGTAGTACCATTAATACAATTTTTATAACTGTGATTCACTTTTAGAAATAAATACAGGATCATTTGAAAATATCATAACATACAAAGATATTGAATACTTAACAATACATATGTTATGACGTACAAAAAGCATAATCTAAAGTAAATATAATTTTTAAACGCAGGCTTATTTAATTCACTATAACAAAGCGAATCATAAGTTTTAAGGTAAAAAAAAATTATGCAGATGAATTAATTAATGACTTCATAACAGTAACTAGCTTTATTCCGCTTATCTATTAATGTTTAGTGTTTTAGGTACTTCATTTACTAAGTTTTTATAACTGAGATGATAAATAAATACAGCGCACATGTATCTGCTTTCGTTTTACTAGACCTCAACCTTGTAAACGGAATTGTGATAAATTATCCATACAATCCACTGTGAGATACATAACTCTACCATAGTAATCCAAAATTGATAATATGCATTTTGCTATTGGTGAATTACTAAGAATAGCAACTTCATGTCAACTGAATAACTTGAAGCTGAATGAACTTTCCTCAATTACTCGATGACGAAAAACGTTGGTACGTGATTTGTTTCACGCTTCCAAAGAATGGCTCAACTGAATCAATTACTTTACAGGAACAGGTGAAGTCACATGAATTAATTGTTTGAGACACTAAAAAATCTATAAGTTTGTAGTTGACATTAAGACAATAATATGCCGCAGTCAAATAGTTTAACCTTAACTGTTACATCATCATCCTTAGACACCCAAAACTCGAAGATAATAAAGCAGAATCTCCAAGTGACATGAATGAAGATGGCGAACGTACATCTGATTATATAAAAGTTCATGAAATGACTCATTTTCATTTATTTCTAAAACAAAACATTTGGTACAATAGGGTACTGAAACATGTAATGAATGAAAATTTAACGTATTAAATAAAGTGATGAGACCATGTTATTGCTTGGATAAAAAACGAGAAAATATTATAATTACATGATGAAGAATTATGCATAAGATAACCGTTACTCCACACCAAGCCCCCAAATGCCCTGGTATGGCCGAGAGTGAGGAGAGTCCGCTCTCCCTCTCGAAATACTCTCACACGGCCACGCGTATACAGCCTCTGCCAGAGAAGTCCTACTCATTGCCTTCTCGTGGCGGGGGTGTTGTTGACGAAAATGAGGAGATGAAAAGCGAATGTCCGGCACTTTAACCGGATCCCAAACTAATGGTGCACAGGGGCTCCAGTATCCTGTGGGAACAGATGGTGTATGAACCAACCGTTGGTCACCGGCTACCGTGGGACAGCATCTCCTTACGATGCTCCACTGCCTTGTGGGTTAGACCTTTAGGTCAAAGGCTCGGGGTGTGGCCCCCTAAGATAACCACCTGCTTCGGTCTGGGCACCCGGGCAGTATCACAGCCCACACACAAATATGATGAACTGCCTATAATTATGGAAACTACTTTACTTGCTTCTACCAACAATCAAATGATTCAAATGATTATCATCACTATTATTACTATTATTATTATTATTATTATTATTATTATTATTATTATTATTATTATTATTATTATTATTATTATTATTATTATTATTATTATTATTATTATTATTATTATTATTATTATTATTATTATTATTATTATTATTATTATTATTATTATTATTATTATTATTATTATTATTATTATTATTATTATTATTATTATTTACCACATTATTCACCCTCTTTTATACTTATATAGCGGCTCGTATTTGGTGGAAATTCGACTGTATTTAAACGTTCTCGAGTCAGTGTCCGGTTGAAAATTATATGTTACCACCGAATATGAGTACTGAAGCAGTTTTTCTGAAACCACGTGCACCATTCAAACTGGCTGCCTTCAGCGTTCGCATGCTTATGCAGGTCGGACAACAGATAGGGCTGGCTATGTCTTTGGAAAGTCTTAATATCGACGTTTGATGTCTATCCGAGACCCGTATTCAAGACTGGTGAAGTACTACAGATTCGCTCTCCATCTGTTGCTTCAAAAAGCTTGTTTCACGTGCGCTTATCCGGGGGCCTTGTGGCATCTTCGTATGGTCTTGCTGGCGATGGTGTCGCACTAAGCGCTAGAGCTGAGGCAGCACTAGTCGATTGGATCCCCATTAACAGTCGGTTATGTGCTGTTAGATTAGAAAGTTCCATCAAAGTGAGAAGAAATCGGAGTGAGAAACGATGTCTTTTCGTCATCTCTGCCTATGCCCCGACAGATTGCAGCCCGGATGCAATCAAGGATGAGTTTTACCACCAGTTATCTGTTCTTCTCCAGAAAGTGCGTTCAATAGATATTGTAGTACTAGCCGGAGTCGTTTAGGTGGCCGATGGGGACTCGTTGGTCGTCGGTCAGATAACGGGGACCGTCTACTGCCACTGTGCACAGACCACAACCTGTTTCTAGCTAGCACTAACTTCCGGCACAGTCATCGCCGATGTGCCACCTGGCGTCCTCCCTCTGCGTCCCAAGCCTGGACTCAGATTGATCACATCGCGATCAGCTACCGCTGGCGTGGTTGTGTACAAGACTGCCGCTCCTTTTGGAGTACCTATCTGGACTCTGACCATGCCTTGGTCTGCGCCAATCTTACCTTACTTTTCAGTGGACAACGAAGTGACCGCCACCAACGGATTGATGTTAGCAAGCTGGTTGCAACTTCTGCTGCTAGTAAGTATCGAACCGAGCTAGTTTCTAGGCTAGCTACCATTCCACCGAAAAGTATAGATGAGCATTGGTTGCAATTGCATGACGCCATGAAAATGGCGGGTACAGTCAGTTGTGGGTTCGCGAAACGTCCCGCTTATAAGCACTGGGTTTCTTCAGGTTCCTTACAACTCATTGAAGCCCGTCGGTCTACTCCGGGTGACCGTGAGTTTGAACATAAACGAAGGATATTACGTAAGGAAATTGGGCAAAACTTGCGTAAGGACCGAGAAGCCTGGTAGTCGAAGCGTGCTAATGAGCTGGAAGCAGCAGCTGCATCTGGTAACTACCGGCAGCTCTTCCAACTCATCCGAGTCACTGGCAGCAAGAAGTCCGGTGTGAGTGAAACAATCTGCGAGGATGATGGGATGCCAATCACTAACATCCATCGACGTCTTGGACGATGGGCAGAATTTTTCGAAGGGCAGTTCAACTGGCCTGCTGCTCCGGCAACATCGGTCAGACTGTCCTGCCCTCCATGGCCGGTGACGACTGATCCACCAAACGAGGAGGAAGTCCGCAAGGAACTCCAACTCTTGAAGCGTTACAAATCACCTGGCCCAGATGACTTACCTCCGGCTCTTTTTAAAGATGGTGGTGACTTGCTGACTAAGGAATTGACGACGTTGTTTACAAAGGTCTGGGAACTAGAGAGTGTACCAACGTCATGGAATGAGTCGATAGTTGTCCCTATCTTTAAAAAGGGTTCACGTCGTTCCTATAACAACTATCGGGGGATAAGTCTACTTCCGATTGCGTCCAAACTTTTGGCTTCCGTCATGCTGCGTAGACTGTTCAAAACCCGAGAAAGATTGACTCGCGAGGAGCATGCTGAGTTTCGCTCTGGTTGAGGATGTATTGATCATATCTTCACCCTCCGCCAAATGTTAGAACACCGCCATACTTATCAAAGGCCAACAATCGTAGTGTTGCTTGACATCAGGGCTGCCTTCGATTCGTTGGATAGGACTGTTCTCTGGGATTGTCTATTGAAGAAGGGTGTGCCTGAGAAGTTTATTAACATCCTAAAAGCCCTATATACAAATACCTCAGGCAGAGTGAGGGCATACAACCACCTCTCTCCATTGTTCTATTCGAGCAGTGGGGTTAGGCAGGGTTGCCCAATCTCACTATTCCTCTTCAACTTTGCCATCGATGACATTCTGGAAACAGCTCTGATGAATGTAAGTAATGGTGGTGTGGATCTGTTGCCTGGAGAAAGACTCCTCGACCTTGAGTATGCGGATGATATTGTCTTACTGTGCGATAATACCCAAGGCATGCAATCCGCACTTAATCAGTTGGCAATCAGTATCCATAGGTATGGTATGTGCTTTGCACCTTCGAAGTGCAAAGTTCTTCTACAAGACTGGCAGGATTTCAATCCTGTACTCACCCTGGATGGTGAGCAGATAGAAGTAGTCGAGAAGTTCATGTATCTAGGTACCTGCATAAGTGCTGGTGGTGGCGTAAGTGATGAGATCAATGCACGTATAGTGAAAGCCAGAGACGCTTATGCCAATCCGGGCCATCTTTCGAGCCTTCGTGATGTTAGTCTGGCTGTAAAAGGTCGGATCTACAACGCGTCGGTGAGAGCAGTTTTGCTCTATGCTTGTGAAACCTGGCCTCTCCGAGTTGAGGACGTTAGACGACTCTCTGTGTTCGATCATCGCTGTCTCCGAAGGATTGCTGACATTCAGTGGCAACACCATGTCAGTAATGCAGAGGTTCGGCATCGTGTGTTCGGGTACAGAGATGATAATTCAATTGGTGTCACCATCTTGAAACACCGACTTCAGTGGCTTGGACATGTTCTACGAATGTCGTCCCAGAGAATTCCACGTCGTGCATTATTTGCCGACTCTGGGACTGGTTGGAAGAAGCGGAGAGGTGGTCAGTGCATGACATGGTGTTGTGGCATGAAAGAAAGCTGCAAAGGGCTGGCTTCTGTTGGTCCTTTACGACTCCCTGGTTGGGGTCTGAGAGATGTTGCTACACAGTGGCTAGAGACGTTATGAGATATGGCTCAGATTAGAAGCCAGTGGCGATCCTGCTGTAACCTTCTTTTACTTTCTTCATAAAAAGTGGTTGTGCCTCCCTTACCTGAAAGATTTCTTCTGATTGTACCTTTCCGTTCCCTCGTTACTACCACACTACCTTACACCAATCTCTTCGTTATTGTTCTCTTTTTTTGCGCTCCTTAGCTTTTTTTCTATTTCTCTTCGAATTCTCATTGTTTTGTGTGGCGCATATATATTGGCGCTCTCCTGTACCAATATTCATGTGTTCAAATAAATAAATAATACTCCACACCATTTATTACTAGACTCCTATTAAAAGATTACGCTGTTACATGGAGCCATGAAAGACGTTAGTCGTGTTAATGTATTATGAAAATAGTTACCGATAGTCATTTGAAATCTTTCAAACAGCAAGAAAGTGAGCGAAAGAAGCTTCCCTACTCTTCAACTGGTTTCACCATACAACACCAGGTGTTTTCTATACCATTCAAAAATCAGTCAGTCAGCAACAACGTGGAACTTCATACGTACGTATATCAGTTCAAGTTGCCGTACCACATTAGCACACAGATACAATTCTCGATTAAAATCCCATAGTGGTAAAGGTAGTAAAAGCATAAGCAATAATCGGAAAGATTAGGGTTTGAAGATGTTATAATCTAGTGAAATAAATCTGGGGAGAGAAAAAAAAAGAGACAAGGAGGAATAAGGAGATCAAAATTTGGGAGAACACAAAGAGTGTATGCACCTGCGCCATTGCAAACGATTTTGAGTCATGTCATTCAAGGTCTCTAATAATCGGTTGCTATCGTCTTGCGGATCCCAACCAGGTAGTTAACACCTGGTTTAGTCCACTTGTCAGTGACTTCATGGATTTGTGCCATGTTTTGGTCTGCCCGCCCCTAGCTTTCTTCCAATCTACTCCTACACCATAAAACATAGCATGTCGGGGGCAGTCTGTGGTTATGCATACGTAACACGTGTCTCAACTGATGAAGTTTCACCACTTCATCAATCGATTTTCCATCCTTACCTAGTACCCGTTTCCTAGCAACCGCGTTACTTACTCCATGGTCCCAGGATATACGAGCAATGTTTCGAAGGCACCTATGATCAAATACTAGTAACCTACGAATATCCTCTACCCTTACCGGCCATGTTTCACAGCCATAAAGTAGGACAGAACGAAATGCTGCTCAATAAACCCGTCCTTTATTTGGTAGACGGATATCTGAAAGGAAATAAAGTCTTTACAAGTCCAATTGCCAGACATCTCGATAGTGGACATGAAGTGAATGTAAATAATGCACTCAAAATAATCAACACACGAAAAGCATCAGTCTTATTCAGTTTTTCAGACACAATCGCTATCCAACGTTCCCGACCTGACCTAGGTATAGAGAAGGAAAGTTTAACTAGCCATTTCTTGCCATGGTGGTTGGATATTTGTCCAATAACCTGTTAATTTTAACCTTTTTTTCAATCTTGTCCCCAACCTTTTTATCGTCTTGTTATTCTTGCGTCTTTTTGATATTCATCTCTTACACAATCTGATTGGTGTTCACATATTTATTTTATCATGTTGAGTGGTTACCTAATCACCCATTAATTTCATCGCCTTTACATAATTATTACTTCTCAACATATAAATACACATCAATCTTAACTAGGTTTATCCATACACTTTGTAACCTTATTCTTCTGATTATGATTTTCATTACGTTTTGAGTAATTATCTAAATTTCATAAACTAAAGTATGCTAAACATTTATTAATTGTATTTAGATTAGTTATTGTAATTTTAAGTTGCATGCAGCCGATGAGAAATGAAATATAATGAACTCATTATATTTAACAAACCTTCTTCTTGCTGTTTACATTTATCAAGGGATATGGTTGTATGAAATTTTTGAAAAAACGTCTCATACCTAAATATTTACCTAATGTTGAAAACTAACTACATAACAAGAATAAAATTCGACTCACTTTAATTCAATTTCTTCACGACTATTTAAACTTTTACGATAGGATGTAATCAACTTTAACACACCATCAATAAAACTATTCATACTGATTTGAATTTCTCCATTTTCCACCCTTAAAACTTTTGAATAACCCATTATCTCGAATTCCTAGATAAAATACGTTTAAAAAATAAATAAATAAATAAAATAAACGACGAACTAGTAAACTTAAAAGAAAATGTTTATGTGAAGTAATCAAAAGATGGTTGACATAACGAAAGGTAATATAAGATATAATTTATTGGGGAATTAATTCCCTTAAAAAGATAGTATAAAAATCAAATATTCGCAATATTTAAATTTACAATTAACCTTGCTAAAAAGCTTGGTGCAACTAACAAGCTAATTGATTTTATTTGACCTAACTCATTTCACGAAGTACACGTTTGTGTTTGGCTTCAAGACCACACTCAAATTTTGAGGGCTAGTGAAACTACCATAATGCCTAAATCGAAGTAGATGGAGTGTGATTTGAAAATGTGACTCAACTATTGAATTATAGGTATTTTAGCCGACAATTTATTTCATAACTAAGAAGTATTTCCAAACAAAAAAAGTACATAGAAGTAAGATTTTAAAATAGGATTTCAGCCCTGTTAAAAAGCACAAAAACCAAACGAATAGTTCCCTAAGCAGCAACTATGTAGTGGGAAAGCTGTGATGTTAAAAATTTAGGCATATGATTCACAGCTTGGGATACAAGAACATTTAATAACTTGGATTACTCATAAACTAAAATATACAATACAAAAAAGTATTACAAGCGCATCCTCATAAAGACAACCTTAAGTTATCCAGGAACAGCTTATCAGTTACTACTGCCAAAATCATGTAGAAAGAAACTATACATACTAGGATGAAACGGCCATCCAGTACTTGCAGGTTTTCGATGGTGGTCTAACATTGATCGGTTCGTGATTTCAATATACACTTTAGATTTTGCTTAGAATATTTCTCAGTAATTTATTGCTTTTATTTCCTATATTTTATCGTAATGTTTATTCGTAGTGTAGTACATTGTTCAACTAGTAAGCTCAGCCAGTCATATGCAACGTAAGACCTCATACATATGTACATTGGTTCAAGTTGCCGTACCATATTAATACAGTGAGATAAAATTATCTCAAGACAGAATTCAAAGAAGTAGAGGTAATAACAGTGTCAGTGGTAGTATAAGGCCAGGGATAGAGAGATTTCAGAACCCAGGTTTTAAGGGGAGACAAAAAGTTCATGGACAAGAGCTACGGCAAACCATCCTGAGTCATGACACTCAGTCTCTAATTAACTAGTAAATTATGTTGAATCATGCATAAAAGCAACAGTTTTTATACACCAAAATACATAAAGTAACTAGATTCACTTACATTTGATATGCAAAGTAATATGCTGAAATCGCTAAGTATTAAAACATTTCAAGACACTGTTTAATGCACAGATTACCACACTAGAGTACTACTAAGAACCCCAAGTAATCTAAGAATCTTCAATATCACTAATAAATATTTATTACCACAATTTATATGCGTGAATACTGCACAAAAGTTTTTGACTCAGTGGTCTAGTGGTTAGGAGCTCGCGCGCGAAACCGAAGGTCCTGGGTTCAAATCCCGCGAGCGGAATCGTGGATACGCACTGCTGAAGAGTCCCATCATAGGACAAAACGGCCGTCCAGTGCTCCCAGGTCTTACTTTTCACCATAAGAGTAGAGGAATGTGGAAAAGATTTAGATCACTAGGTACTAATGAGACAAAATCTCAATATTCGTATATAAACTAAAGGACTAAAAGAAGAGGAAATATTCCAGCACTATAGGGAGACAGTAATGTTTCATCATTAGTGGAGGACGACTATGGTAAAGCTCAATTATCCTCAAACTACTTTAGCAATGCATATACCGCATGAACACCCTTCCCGTCAGTTCATACAAATCCCCCGCACACACTGGACAACGTGACCATTAAAGAACTCGAAGTCTTTGGTTTGCTAAATAAGCTTGACATAGGCAAATCCACGGGACCCGATGAACTGCATCCTAGGTTAATAAAGGAACTAGTTAACTTCGCTGCGAACCCAGGGTCATTTAACAAGACTGGAAGAACGCCATAGTAAGTCCTGTCTTCAAAACAGGTACGAAACATAAACCTGAGAACTACCAACCCGTTAGCCTAACTAGCATGGTTGTTAAAATTTTAGAAAAGATTATTCGGTAGGAGCTGTTTAAGTATTTCCGTGAAAACCGGATCCTTTCGGAAAAGCAGCATGGTTTTAGAATATGTTATTCCTGTCTCACTAACTTAGTGGCTCGTGAAAGCTGGTCAGCTCTTAAAGACCAAAATCTACCTATAGACGTAGCTTACATCGACTTCAGTAAAAATTTTGACAAAGTTCCCCACAACCGGCTGTTATATACGTTAAGAAATGTCGGAATTGGGGGCAATCTATTAATGTGGATAAAAGACTTCCTAGTTGTGCGATAAAAAAAGTACGGGTGGACTCCAAGTTGTCTGTCTGGGAGACTGTGCTTAACGGAGTACCTCAGAATACAGTTTTGGGATCAGTGTTATTCGTCTTGTATGTAAATGATCTTTCACATCTATCATCATCGGTTTTGCTATATACTGTCAAGATATGGAGAGCGATAAAAAGTAAAGGTGATAGCTTAGAGCTTCAAAATAACCTGGAGAAATTATCTGAATGGTCTCAAATTTGGCAGTTGCCGATATATATTTTCAAGTATTGTAATGCATATTGGTCATCAAGGTATAGATGCATACATGATGAATAACATTGAGCTACCTATTGTCACCTACCAATTGACACACAATGACTTAGTAGTCATCGTTAGCAAGACTTAACTACTGCACACTGCCATGGAACAGCCACCAAAGGTTTTAGAACCCTATGGTCAATACGTAGGGCCTTTAGCCATGTCGAAGCTAAAACGTTTCTGACTTTGTATACAGCACTTATGCGTCCTGAACTTGAGTACTACATACAAGCGACTAGCCTCTGCTTAAAAAGACAATGAGGTTTTGGAAAAGGTTCAGAGAACAGCAACTAAACTGATTCCCGGAATAGCGAAGCTCCCACAACATGTTCGACTGGTTAAACTTAACCTATTCCCATTGTCATATCGAAGAACTAGAGGTGACTTGATTACGGTTTTCAAATTAATTAGTGGTAAATTTGCATCTGATATGTCCAAATTTTTTGGTCTTCCAAAACAGAGAATCTACGAGGACACTCCATAAAGGTTTACAAGCCCAGAATAAACTACTTTTCGGTTGACTATAGACTTTCCCATCGAGTCATTAAGGAGTGGAATTCATTATTTCAACACGTGGTTAAAGCTCCATCTGTCGACTCTTTCATAAGAAAGTTGGATCGACTGAGATCATTATTGACAGGACTAACACAGGCCATCTAGCCTCCTGTCCTTTCCAAACTGAAACTGAAACTTGTATCGATAAAGAAAATTTTTAAAAAGACATTAACCAAAGCCAACTCTCACCTAGATATCATGCATAAACATTTCTTAGAAAATGTATAGAAAAATTATACGTACAGAATTTATCAGTCGGATAGAAGAATCTAGCTGGCTCTGCGGGACGACTACGAAATTTTCAGAATGTGATGTAGAGGGATCTTGTGAAGACGGTTTATCAAAGACTGGTTGAATATTCCAAATAGCATTGTTGAAATAATCTATTGACGGAATGTGCGACATTTTACGTTTAAAAATGTTCTCTTTGTTACGATCTTAAATGAAAACCTTGGATTAACAGTTAATCTTAATAAAGAGGGAAAGGAAAAATGTAAAAATTTACAAGTTGATTACACAATGGAAATATGAAAAGTGATGCTGAACTAAAACACCACGAACAATCGGAAAACACGTATAATTGGCTGATCAGAGTAGTGACAAATATCATAAATGTGAAGACCTCGATATGAAATCGTCAAGATCACAGGTAAATCTCGGTGACGAGTGCTAAGTAGAAAGGAACCTATGTCAACCAGGGTTCCCCCTACCGACAACTTCTGATACCTTAAATGAACAATGATCAAAACCCAATTGATTGTAGTTTAACGACTCCTTGAATGCTATATTACTAAGAAAGTAGTTATCAACCACATGGAATATGGTGCCACCTTGAATTAGGATAATTAGCGAATGAGTAATATATATAGCAATTTTTAGACACATCTGAAGCTAAACCGGCCTTACTTTTTTATAACTGTGGTCGGGAGTTCGCAGCTATCAACCGCTACTGAGAAGCTGAAACCAACGAAGCTTAAGTATGCTTCATCTAATAATAATGATGAACTATCCCAGTAGCATTAAACCGTCAGTTTATATTTTAGAGATAACATATTACAGACTATCCCTAATAAATAAATAATAGTATTCAAAAGTTGGTCGAGCATCAAATTAAAAAAGCAGTAATGTAACAACTTAATAACACAACAGCATTGTTTATTCATCTAAACACATAAACACTGGTATAAGGGGGTACCAAATATATATGCGCCACACTTCATCATTCGATTTGTGTGGAGGTTGGAATACTGCTCGGGTGCCCAAACCGAAGCAGGACAGTAGCATTGACAGTATGAGACTCACCCACCTAAATCATGCTCTCCAGTATAGTCTCCCAAAAGACAACAGTGATTTCACGGACGGTTACTGAGAACATCGGCTGGACTCCCGTCAACCGAGTGTAAAAAAGTTAAAGATTAGCGCTGAGAAGGTACAAAGGCCCAGGTATCGAAAGAAACCAGCCAGCCAATCTACATCTAATTAATCGATTGGCTGACAAGGGTCGTGGAATTTCAGGCCATAGTCGTGGCCAAATCGAGAATTCTCTGAACCTAAAGTAGATAATACCCTTGGAAACAGGCCTAGGACTGTGTGAACTCCCTTATCATTATGAGATCAAAATACCGTCCAAATTTTTCATCCAGTCTTTAAGATAAAAGTGACAGGATGTTGTTAAATGAAATGGACCAGGGGCTTAAACGTACAGGAAATAAACCTCTTAAAGGCTACACGACTTACATGAAGCAAGAATTCCAAACACGTGAACCAACCAAGGCTCCGTATAACGTTTACCAGTGCCGATGATGTGGGGGACGTTTTATTACCCAGTCATTCGCTCAAGTCCGAGTGACGTGAGAATACTGCCGGACAAACCGTGGAGCATAACTGCTTAACGAGCTCAAGAAAATCCAGACCACGATGACACAGCTAATGATGTCAAAGAAAGTCTAAGGAACTTGAGGCTATACAGTCGCAATATATTACAACTCAACACGTGGGGATGCTAGATTTCGATTTGTGGGGGTGACCTTCCCATTATTCCACAGTGACCACAACTACCAGTGAATTTTACACCAGCAGACACTGGATACCAGCTACAATTCACATGCATCCTGATACACCACACTACATTGTGATTAAGTGCGAGAATACATTTGAGCATACTGTTGCACTTGTGGACTACCAAGAACACAAATACGTAGGAAGGACAGGGATTGCCCAGTCATATAGATTTCAGATTCAGATTTGTGTAGTACGGACAGAAGGCCTACGGCCTATGTTATTCCTTTTCTAGTATGCTTCTGTGAATGTCCAGTCTTCTCTTAAAAGAGTCAATTGAAGGTGCGGACACCACTGCTTCAGGCAGCAGGTTCCAAGTATTGATGACTCGGTGTGAAAACCTGTATGCCACGGGTATTTTGTTCGCTCTTGGCTTTTCTACTCGCCGGCTATGTCCTCTGAGGTGTCCCGATCTAGTGGGAAGAAAGAGAGAGAATAAGTTAGGTCCGAAATCATTTCTCAGTATTCTGTACATCAAAATTAGATCTCTCCTTAGTCTGCGATAGGACAGAGTAAAGAGGTTCAGTTTTTCAAGCCGCTCTTTATATGATAAACCCCGGAGTTCCGGAATTGCACGCGTAGCTGCCCTCTGTACTTTTTCTAGTATGTCTGAGTCACCTTTGAAACAGGGGCTTGCAGCCTGAACGCAGTTCTCTAACTTAGTTCTCACTAAGGATGTGTATACTGTGGTGAACATGGTAGTATCTAACTTAGTGAATGTTCTTTTTAAAGCCCAGAGGGTTCGAAACCCCTTAACTGCGACCTCCCGGCAATGGGCCGTCGTCTTAAGATCATTATTCACTATCACCACCAGGATCCTCATGAGACCGGACTACGGGTAATGACACATCCCCTATGTTGTACGTATTAACCTTTGAATCCCCCAAGTGCATGTAGACACAATTTTCCGAGTTGATAGGCATCAGCCACTCTCTAGACCAGTTTATCATATAATTTAAGTCTGCCTGAAGAGTAAATGTGTCTTTGTATCAAGTTACCACTCGCCAAATTTTTACATCGAAACGTCCCGCTTATAAGCACTGGGTTTCTTCAGGTTCCTTACAACTCATTGAAGCCCGTCGGTCTACTCCGGGTGACCGTGAGTTTGAACATAAACGAAGGATGTTACGTAAGGAAATTGGGCAAAGCTTGCGTAAGGACCGAGAAGCCTGGTAGTCGAAGCGTGCTAATGAGCTGAAAACAGCAGCTGCATCTGGTAACTACCGGCAGCTCTTCCAACTCATCCGAGTCACTGGCAGCAAGAAGTCCGGTGTGAGTGAAACAATCTGCGAGGATGATGGGATGCCAATCACTAACATCCATCGACGTCTTGGACGATGGGCAGAATTTTTCGAAGGGCAGTTCAACTGGCCTGCTGCTCTGGCAACATCGGTCAGATTGTCCTGCCCTCCATGGCCGGTGACGACTGATCCACCAAACGAGGAGGAAGTCCGCAAGGAACTCCAACTCTTGAAGCGTTACAAATCACCTGGCCCAGATGACTTACCTCCGGCTCTTTTTAAAGATGGTGGTGACTTGCTGACTAAGGAATTGACGACGTTGTTTACAAAGGTCTGGGAACTAGAGAGTGTACCAACGTCATGGAATGAGTCGATAGTTGTCCCTATCTTTAAAAAGGGTTCACGTCGTTCCTATAACAACTATCGGGGGATAAGTCTACTTCCGATTGCGTCCAAACTTTTGGCTTCCGTCATGCTGCGTAGACTGTTCAAAACCCGAGAAAGATTGACTCGCGAGGAGCATGCTGAGTTTCGCTCTGGTCGAGGATGTATTGATCATATCTTCACCCTCCGCCAAATGTTAGAACACCGCCATACTTATCAAAGGCCAACAATCGTAGTGTTGCTTGACATCAGGGCTGCCTTCGATTCGTTGGATAGGACTGTTCTCTGGGATTGTCTATTGAAGAAGGGTGTGCCTGAGAAGTTTATTAACATCCTAAAAGCCCTATATACAAATACCTCAGGCAGAGTGAGGGCATACAACCACCTCTCTCCATTGTTCTATTCGAGCAGTGGGGTTAGGCAGGGTTGCCCAATCTCACTATTCCTCTTCAACTTTGCCATCGATGACATTCTGGAAACAGCTCTGATGAATGTAAGTAATGGTGGTGTGGATCTGTTGCCTGGAGAAAGACTCCTCGACCTTGAGTATGCGGATGATATTGTCTTACTGTGCGATAATACCCAAGGCATGCAATCCGCACTTAATCAGTTGGCAATCAGTATCCATAGGTATGGTATGTGCTTTGCACCTTCGAAGTGCAAAGTTCTTCTACAAGACTGGCAGGATTTCAATCCTGTACTCACCCTGGATGGTGAGCAGATAGAAGTAGTCGAGAAGTTCATGTATCTAGGTACCTGCATAAGTGCTGGTGGTGGCGTAAGTGATGAGATCAATGCACGTATAGTGAAAGCCAGAGACGCTTATGCCAATCCGGGCCATCTTTCGAGCCTTCGTGATGTTAGTCTGGCTGTAAAAGGTCGGATCTACAACGCGTCGGTGAGAGCAGTTTTGCTCTATGCTTGTGAAACCTGGCCTCTCCGAGTTGAGGACGTCAGACGACTCCGTATTCGATCATCGCTGTCTCCGAAGGATTGCTGACATTCAGTGGCAACACCATGTCAGTAATGCAGAGGTTCAGCATCGTGTGTTCGGGTACAGAGATGATAATGCAATCGATGTCACCATCTTGAAACACCGACTTCGATGGCTTGGACATGTTCTACGAATGTCGTCCCAGAGAATTCCACGTCGTGCATTATTTGCCGACTCTGGGACTGGTTGGAAGAAGCGGAGAGGTGGTCAGTGCATGACATGGTGTTGTGGCATGAAAGAAAGCTGCAAAGGGCTGGCTTCTGTTGGTCCTTCACGACTCCCTGGTTGGGGTCTGAGAGATGTTGCTACACAGTGGCTAGAGACGTTATGAGATATGGCTCAGAATAGAAGCCAGTGGCGATCCTGCTGTAACCTTCTTTTACTTTCTTCATAAAAAGTGGTTGTGTCTCCCTTACCTGAAAGATTTCTTCTGATTGTACCTTTCCGTTCCCTCGTTACTACCACACTACCTTACACCAATCTCTTCGTTATTGTTCTCTTTTTTTGCGCTCCTTAGCTTTTTTTCTATTTCTCTTCGAATTCTCATTGTTTTGTGTGGCGCATATATATTGGCGCTCTCCTGTACCAATATTCATGTGTTCAAATAAATAAATAAATACTACTCGCCAAATTTTTACATCGTCAGCGTATAATAACATTGGAGACTGTACTATACTTATAAAATCATTAACGTACATTATAAAAATTAAAGGACCTAGGACGGAACCTTGGGGTACTCCACTATGTAATGGTCTCCAGATGGAGCACTTGGAATTTATTCTTACTTTTTGCCTACGACCTACTAGGAAATCCTTAATCCATTTTAAAAGAGGTCCGGCGATACCAAGGTTTGCCAACTTCAATAGCAGTCTATTAGTTGGCACCCTGTCAAAAGCCTTACTGAAGTCTATGTAGACAGCATCCACTGAGTTTCCGTTGTCTAGCGCATTAAACCAGAACTCCCTAGCTACAAGGAGGTTCGTTGTACAGGACAGACCCTTTCTAAAACCATGTTGTGCCATGTTCAGCGAGTTATTGGTTCCCATAAATGCCGTTATGGTCCGTTTGATTCTTCTTTCCAGTATTTTAATTACAACACTGGTGAGGCTTACGGGCCTGTAATTCGATGGAACTTGTCGTGGACCTGTTTTAAGTATGGGAGTGACGATTGCGTCCTTCCAATCCATAGGTAACACACCTTGGTCAAGTGACATTTTGAATATCACAGTCAGTGGGGCTGCGATATATTGGGCAATATGTCTCAAGATTTTAGGGCGTAGTTCATCTGGTCCTGTTGACTTCTCCATGTTTAGGGTGCTAAGAGCCTTAAGCATATCGTTTTGGTCGAAGTCCACGGTGAGCAGCTGGTTTGTTGACTCTGTATTTGAGTCTGGTTTTTTCTCTAAAGAAGGTTCCTGAGTGAAAACTGCCCCAAAATAGTCAGCCATAACCTCAGCTTTTTCCTGATCTTCCTCTATCATTTCAGATTCACTTCCTACTTTAATTAGGTTAGGAATCCAATGATGCATCCTTGTTCTATAGTTTATGTACGAGAATATCCTCTTGGGCTGCTCGAGTGCAGATTGTGCCAGCTGCATTTCATATTTTCTTTGAGCTTCTCGAATTTTCATTATACACTCGTTTCTTATCGATCTGTAGCGTTCCATCGTACCTGCTGTGCCAAGGCGGATGGCAACATCCCAGCATTTCTTCTTTTGTCTTAGTAAGTGTCGAATATCCCGCCCTATCCAGGGATGTCCGTGCTTCTTTTTCGTTGGGACAGTCCAGGGTATGTATGGTTGAGTTACCCGATTGTATAACTGCCTGAATAGAGTCCATGCCTTTTGTACTGATGCCTTTGAGTCAATTTCCCAGTTCTCAGCCGATGCTGCGGAGTTAATTGCCTGCATATCTGCCTTCCATATGTTAGGACGGGCCGACGCAACTGTTTGACAACCAATCTCGGCCATGAATTTGAATAAGATGACTGCATGGTCACTTCTCCCAAGTGGTGGGAGAAAAGCCATTTGACCAATGTCATCACCGTGTGTGAAGACTAAATCTAAAAGAGAAGAAGAGTTTCTTAAGTCGTATCTAGTGGGATCTCTAATGTGTTGGAATAATGCTAGTCCAATCGAGGTTTCTAACAGTTTGCAGTCGAACGACGATATCGATGACCCTACTTCTAAGTTAACCCAGTTTATATATCGTGTATTCAAGTCGCCTACTACAAGGCTTTTACCGTTGTTACACCAGGACTTAAGTTTACTTAGGAGAAAATCATCTACACATTCTGGACTGAGATATACTACAACTACTTCAATATCTTGCCTTCGGCATTTCAACTTACATCTCACCAGTTCACGTCCCTGAAACATGTGCTACTGTCTCAGCTAATCTTATGGTTAGGGTACTTTTCGTGTACAGAATAACCCCGCCTCCCCTTCGGTTTAATCTATCAGCCCTACTGGTCTTTTGCACACTTATTATTAAGTATATGTGCCCAATAAATAACACACAACCTGTTCTTTCTTTTGTAGATCTTTTCAAATTATAATGACTTGGCAATTACAATAAAAATACATAACGATTGACGCTCTAGCATCTGTTGACTATTCATAATGTTGTACAATTGGGCATTTTTTCTTTCCAATAAATTTCTCTCAACATGTACCATTTTTGATGTCGATTGCAGTTGTCGTGTGGTTCGTTATGGAAATGAAAGCAAACACAGATCTTTGGGGTCAGGCCAAACGTGTGTTAAAAATTGAAGCGGAATTAGATAAATCTGCGTGTACTTAATCGAAAGGTAGACAACTCGATGTGTATTTAGGCGAAGATTAGACAATCCAGCGATATCCAAGACGCAGAGCGGCATAAAGGGGTAAATCCGCACTGTTTCCCGCTGACAGGTGAAAAAGTAGACATTTAAGCGCGTTCCGTTATTATCTCCCCTTTTTGATTGCTTGGGGCATACCTACGGAAACGCTATGCAGCTCGAAGTGGATATATTCTCCATAAAACGGAGAAATCCGAAAAACAAGTTATAACGAAAATATTAGAGACTACCTTGTTCATAAAAACTGTAACCATAACATCAATAGAAAAAACATACCAACCCGACACTTTTATTTTCGCTAACCGCTTACCACCAATGTTTGTGACGGGAACACGAACAAACAATGGTGTCGCCATGCGATGAAACATTACGAAGATCCTTTCAACCGCTTGAACAAAAGTTTTCGTCTATTTCAATTTATTTTAAACATCCATATCACTTATTCAAACACCAAATAAAACGGTTGATGGTCTTCAGTTCATGATATTTTTCTAAAACATTGTCCACTCAGCTTCTGTAAATCAAGCAGTCAAATATTATCCAATATAATTTAACTATAGTCATTACAGTGAAGGTGTGTTATGTTTTTGTCACGTTGCATAGGTATTTTGCGTTTTACTGCCTTCCGTGTAACTTTTCAATTATTTTTCTAAAGACGCTCTGCATCAATCACATTTGCCTTAGAATGAACTGTTATTTCAAAGTCCGAGACGGCATTCAGCGTAATTATTGGAACAAGCGGTACTTCGAAACATTCGGTGAACCAAACCCTGCTGCTCTTACAGTGTTGAAAGACACTGCAACTATTGATGTGCAAAGTATGCTGTTTAATAAAACTGTGTAAAATAGTCTGTATAGATACTGAAATCTCAACAAGAGCTTCTTCTTAACAAATGTGGTGTCCCAGAAAACAATCATTTCAAGTGTAAAAGATGTCATGATCGCTGTACATCGATTAATCTTGGAAGTCTGGCAACACCATAAATGATGTCATCTATTGATAGTCATCAGGAACTTAAAAAGACATAAGGGACTCTGGAGGCCGTTAGGATGGCGCGCGCAATCAAACAGATATTCATAAGTCCTACTATGGCGAACAAAAACAGTAGACATCAAAAACAAACGATTACTCTATGAAAATGGACCTTTTTGATAGATGGTTGGTTTGGGATAACACTAATTAAAGCGCTCGTGCGCGAGACTGGTAGATCCTGGGTTCAAATCTCGCGAGGCGGGATCGTGGATGAGTAGTAATGAGGAGTCAAACAGTAGGACGAAGCAGCCGTCTGGTACTTTCGGGTTTACCATGGTGGTCTAGCTTCAACTGACTCGCGATCTGAACTATTAAAAAAATAATTAAATTAACTTTAAAACGTTTTGGACTAATAGTCCTAATTTAACGGAGTTAAACTAGTAGATAGAATTGACTAAATTTTCACACTCTTTCAAAACTAAATCATGCAGTGACTAAGTTATCTCGCGCACCCGAACCCTATGGTCTATCTGTAATTATACTTTCACCTTGAGTCTTAGTTAATAAGGAAGTAGGTCGGTTGACCTGTACCATTCAGTTAAGTATAATTTCCAGTGGACATCCAGTTTCTCCTCAAAAGCGTTCCCTGGTGAGTTTGATACTACCTGTTTAAAAAGTGCCTTCCAGTTGTTTACCACTCGATGAGAAAAATGGAGTCCCTCTTTGAGTTTATTCAATGATTGTTTTTAGCTGGTTTCTGATCTAGTGTTCTATTTATCCACACACTCTGTTTTTTACCACTGAGGAAGTTTCCCATCCAGTTTTGCGTAGTTCTTGCAATTCTACAATTGAAAGGCTGCTTCATTAGCTCCAGGTGAGATACTGTTGTGTTTGTATGAACTGACGATTCCTTTTGTAGTCGATTGTGCGCTTATTACGAATTCCACTTATAATTCGCTCATTTGGGATCACTCAGCTCAACCTGACTCAAATTGCACTATTTCGGGAATGATTGGAATACTTCCAACCATCACATGCTCCCAGTAGACTTTTTGAAATGGGTTAATTACCACAAACAACTTGTTTCATCCTCAACGTCCAACTAAGCTCTCAGAAGCTGATGTGAAACATTCGAAGCACTTTTTCACTGAGCGTAAGGGATTAAACTTTCCACGGGATCTTTACATTAATAGGATAGATTAACGCATATCACTCTTAAGAAAATCAGAACAAACCAGAGTCCGTATGAGTTTTTAACTGATGAGCCCCGTCTTCACAAAGAACTAGCTCCTGCATCAATGTCACACAATAAATTGCTGATTTTTTACGTAAATATATACGGAGCTCTGAACTATTTAAATTTTTTACAACCGACAAATTCAATAGAACTAAACTAACTTAAAACTCTTTTCCTCATGCAATCTATGACTCACATAACTTTCCTCGTCCACCATACTATTTAGAAGATCACTTAGACATCGTGTTTTGCCGGTGGAATGAAGAGATAACAAGTCATTCCTGACTGCAAAAATGGGCAGAAATAGAATCATTAAACTTATATGCTAATTAGCATGACAAGTGTGCTCGCAGAAATCAGTTGAGAAACCACGATATGAATCATCTTGATCTCCCTGAAAACGACGAACAGCACAACAGTACTGTACGTTAACTGTTCTAAGGCTTGGGGAGAGTTGAATAGAGCCCTTGAATAATAGGCAGTTGGTAGACAAATTGTACATTAACCACAGCAAATCATCCGACAATGAGGCTCAAGGAAGCTAGAAAACTAAGTAATCAGCAGATATTCGTTCTGGCGCATTGAAAGTTTGCAGAAAGTACAAATCAACTCTAAAATTTCCACCTGAAACCTGCATTTAGTGAAGTACGTTAGGTATTACTAATAAGTCCATCATTGCTCACTTTTCATGTCTGTAGGCTTATGGAGGAACACTAAAATTATGGAAATATCTCAACTCATTTAAAACTATAGAACGCTTATAAAGAGTCAAGTAATAAAACAAAAACAAACATCTCCAAAATATGAAGTCACATATTATTTTCAAGAGGTTGTGTGTTCGTAACTCCATATATATATATATATATATATATATATATATATATAAATACAATAATGATAGTATAGAAAAAATAATTGCAACGAACGTCAAACATAGACTACAAATGTTCGCATGTAATTGACAAGGAATATGCTGGGTAACATGAGCTGAAATGTGTACAACATAGATGTTAGTCAGTAGTCAGAAAATGGTACTCAACAAAATTAAGACGAGTTGTGTATGTTTACACGTGCATTTAGTTAACACCAGTCATTACATTAAGCGCATTACGAACAGGAATGATATAAGTCAATTTAAACAAAATTCCTTAGCTTATATATCGCCTGTGTACATTGAATGGCATAAAAATTAAAACCAATGATGAAAACTGTCTACAAATTAGGTTTATTTCAACCATCCTCTAAAAACTCCTAAACATAACCAAAACTTCGGTTCATATCTGGAGCATTAACAATGAAGATGTGAAGGGTGATAAAACTGTGGCTCATCTCCATACATTCATCGGAAAAGAAACCTACGGTTCATTAAAAACTTTGGCATTTCCAGAAAAGTTGATATCAATTCCTTTTGCAACTCTTAAAAAACCTTTTATTAAATCATGCAGAGTGAACCAGTCTTGAATGTCATGAGAGAGTGACATTTTATATAACGATTCATCAAAATTACCAGACGGTTGGGGAATGCATTTTCGAATCGCAAAGACTAGCTGCCAAATGCAAGTTTGGTGGTCAACTTCATGTGCAGCTGAATTAGCATACTAGGTTTAGAAAGAGATGTTAAGAATGCTAGAACTGGCGTGTATCAACTATGAAGCAGTGAATAAACTTGATATCCAGTCGATTAAAAATTCTTATAATTTGCTCGGTCGTCATGATGAAATACAATCTCAGTGTCAATCAAACTTGCATTTGTTTAATAGTGATTCCTTTTTTACTTACTTACTTACGCCTGCTGCTCCGATTGGAGCATAGGTCGCTGACCAGCAGTCTCCAACCCACTATGTCCTGGGTCTTCCTTTCCAGGTCTATCCAATTTTTGCTCACTCTTCTCATGTCTGTCTCCATTTTTCAACGTAATGTGTTCTTTGTCTTCCTCTCCTCCTTTGGCCTTGAGTACTCCATGTGAGGGCTTGCCTTGTGACATAGTTGGATGCTTTCCTCAATGTGTGTCCTATCCACTTCCAACGCGTCTTCCTGATTTCTTCCTCCGCTGGGATCTGCTTTGTTCTCTTTCACAGTAGGTTGTTGCTGATAGTGTCTAGCCAACGGATCCAAAGTACTTCGCGTAGACATCTGCTAATGAACACTTGTATCTTCTGGATGATGGCTTTCGTAGTTCTTCAAGTTTCCTCCCCTTACTGTAGAACTGTCTTGACATTTGTATTGAAAATTCTGACCTTGGGTTTGGTCAACAGTCAATCACCAGGAGAAAGAGAAAGGATAGGAGTATGCAATCTTGCCTGACACCGGTCTTTACCTCGAACGAGTCTGTCAATTGTCCTCCATGCACAATTTTGGAGTTTAATCCATCATAGGAATTCTGTATGATATTGACGATCTTTTCAGGTACGCCGTAGTGTCGAAGAAGCTTCCATAGTGTTGTCCTGCTCACGCGTAGTGATCCATATTCCTGTGAGAATATGAAAGGTGATTCAACGATGAATCTCAAAGCAAGCCACAATGATGAGAGCTGGTTTGATGAATGTTTATCCTGTGACAAGTTTCACTCCCGTTATTCATGTGCATTTCGTAATTCCAAATGTTTTAAGTATAGTAGGATAAGACACATTCAGTCAGTATACAAAAACATTGTTCATTTTGTTTCAAGCAGTACTAAACCTTGTAACTTAGATCCTATTAAATTGTTTATTTCCTTATGATCCTTTATCTTTATCTACCATTTCGAAAGGTAATGTTCATATTCAAAAGCTATTATATACATCCTTTGGTTCATTTCATGAATTTATTGTGGACACAGTCAGTAAAGAGTTCATAATTTCATTCAACAGTTTGAAATCTTTAGGTCCTAACGTTATAGTACGACCAAATAAAGTTCCAATATTGGGGGCTACTGGATACAGACTACCCATACGAAGATGCTATGAATTACTATTGAGGGATGTCAATTCTTCATACATGTCTTATGAAGTTTTAGTTAGCGAAACAAGACTCTCAATTTAGGGTTTAACAATTTGTTTTTACTAGCTTGTAAGGAAAATTCTGATGCTTTACTTAAAGATTTGATAGATGCGTGCGCCATGTGCAGTAGAGAT